AGAGAGGAGAAAGGGGGAAAGGGGCGAAGCATGGCCCACGCACATAGGTGGTCTCATCGGCGGAGGGGCGCTCGATCTGGACCAGCTTGGAGGCCTCGAGGCGCTCCTGGAGCTGCTTGGCCTGTGGATCGCAGGGGTGTGTGTGTGTGTGTCAGGTGGAGGAACAAAAAAAAGGCGGGGGTCGGGCAGGCACGCGGGTGTAGCCAAGAAAAAAAAAGAGCACACGCACGCGGAGCTCATCGGCCTGGCGCTGCTTCTCCTGCTTCTCGATGTTCTTCAGGACACGAGAGCGGGTCTTGGAGGAGACTGGGCCCGAGGGGGACACGGGCAGGGGGGCAGGGGACATGTCGGTCAGGGCCTGGCGCTGCTTCGCCGGGGGGGGGGGAGGGGCATGGGAGGGACGGCGTGGGCAGCATCATGAGGGAGGAGCGGGTGGAGGGCGCACTCTTCTTGAACTCGCCCTCCTCGGACATCTCCATGACCTCGGCGGTCTGTCGGGCGGAGGAGGAACAGCGGGGGGGGTGGGAGGGGGTTGTGTGGTGAGTGCCAGGGGCAAGGTGGCCGGGGGGTGGGGGCAAGGCGGCAATGCGGCGGTCGGGAGGACGGGCGCCGGACGACGCACGGGGCTCAGGGTCAGCGCATGCTCGACGGTCTTGAAGGGGGCCTCGGCGGTGCCGGCGTTGGTGTCGGAGCCGGCCTTGGCGCAGACATGGAAGGTGGCTACAGGCAGGAGGGAGGGCACATGCGTATATGTGTGTGGTGTGCGTGTGGGCGCGCGCGAGCAGCGGGAGGTGAGCAGCGGGAGGTGAGCAGCGGGACGGGGCAGGCGCGGCAGAGGCAGGCCGATCCCGAGACACGAGACGGGAGAGACGACGAGAGGGGCAGGGGCAGGGGCAGGAGCAGGAGCAGGGAGGGGGAGAGGTCGCACGGGTGGGGGTCTGGTCGGACATGGTGTGTCTGCCGGACGCGCTCGCGAGATGGGCGGAGAGAAGTGCAGGGGTGAGGGACTACTTTCCGTCGGGCGGGGATCTCCGCACCCGAGGTGCCAGGCAATGACCGGGCGGCTGAAAAAGAACGGCCCCCAGGCCGGCGCATTCCCCCCCCCGCTCCCCGCCCTCCCCGCCCTCCCCGCCCTCCCCGGGGACCCTCTCCTGTGCCCGGTCGCGCTCCGCCTCAGGTGCCCCGAGCCGGGCCAGGACACCACCGGGCGGCATCCCTCGCTCTTTTGGAGCTGGCCCCGGCCAAGGGCCCAGCCCTCACGGGCGCGCCGGCCTGGCCGCTTGCCAGGTGGCATCCCCGCTCCAGGGACGCTCTGTTCTGGGGACTCCAGAATGAGGGTCTATTTGTGAAGCACGAGTGCCGGCCGGCTGCGCCATCGAGGGCGATCCGATCGGCCGGGGGGGGGGGGGCGGGCGGGCAAGCGCGCCACAGGCCCGGGGCAGGGGGGGGGGGGGGCCGGAGCCCTGTCCGCGGTCGGGCCTCGCGCGGGGCTTGGCGGACCTGCCCCGATGGGCCGGGAACCTCGGGGGGTAGCGGTCCCCTCTCCGCAAGCACAGCTATTCGCACACATGGGAGGCCACCCCACCATGGGCCGTTCCTTTGGTATTCCGCCGGCGCCTTCGGTGGCCGCCGCCCGGCCGAGCCCTCCCGTGGGCCAGGGCATCTCTGGGTTCCCCTGGTCACAGTGGATAGCGTGGGATCGGACTAACACGAACGAAGCAACACCATTCCCGGCACACATGACACGAAGGTCAGCATAGGATCCCGTGCCCCACTCGATCGAGGGTAGGGTTCGTCACCTCCTTGTCCGAGGTCGTACCTTCCCGGGTGGAGGTGCTCCCCCTGTGCGTGGGGCTCGAACTCTCTCTCCGGGGGGGGGAGGGGCGGGGGGCCGGGTTCGCGGAGGGCGCCCTGCCCACACCGGCAGCCGGGCGCCTCTGCTCGCCGGGGGTGCCGAGGGGCGGCCGGGCCGGGGGCCACCGCACGGCAGGCCTCGGGCTAGGGCGGTGTGTGTGTGTGTGACTGGCGCTGTTCTTTCGAAGTGTGCGCCCATGAGTGGGCTCTCGGCCCTCCCCCCGGCGCGTGCGCGCCGGAGTGTGACTCAACAATGGCCAGCGGCCCAAGCCATTCGGTTTCTTTTCGGCCGGCCGGGGGGAGGGGGG